TTATCCATATGACTATAAATCTTGATTAAAACCTGGATTTACAATGTGATGAGATCGATATATTTAAAATTTAAAACAATGCCGAGCGAAGCGAGGCAGAACATAATAAATGTAAAACTGAGCTTGAATTGAGGCTGAAAGTTATTGCATTGGTTATTTTCAAAACTAGCTTTATATATTTGTGTTCCCGTATATAAAGTTCTAGTATCTATGTTTAAATTGTATTTACATTATTAAAATTTTAAGTTAGCAATTAATGATTGTTGAAATATGGTAAAAAAATGTAGAGTTTAAAACCTGCCGAGCGAAGTGAGGCAAAACATAAAAAATTTAAGCTCGAGCAAAGCCAAGAACTATGAAAAAGAACAAATAGAACACCACCTTAATATATATTTTTTGATTTCACGATTAATCATGCATTATCAAATTGTCAGTGTCTGTTAATACCATATACTGTTATATCTAATTATTAGTTGGCGGCGAAGCCGCCACATGATCATGCACCGTATTGTCACGAAATAACGGTCATGGGCTTTATTTAGAATAATAGCCTGGATTAGGCTTAATTTAAGTTGAAATTCGAAGTTTCACCCTGCGCGTTATTACTTACTTATATTGATCAATAAATTTTAGAGTTAAAATAATAGCAATCACGAATATTATTAAAGAAATGATACTGCCAACAATGGCTCCAATAACTAAGCCTGTGTTTTTAGGGTCTGAGATGTTTGTATTGCTTGGAAACGAATTACTTGGAATGGTAGTAGTTGTAGTGGTCTTAACGTTAATATTTGGAGTAAATTCAGTAACCCATTTATAGGAATCCTTTTGACTAATATTTAGCATAACTAAAATTTGAAAATAGACCTGTTAAACAAATAAAGGTTATTAAATTAAATAGAAATTTTTTTTGTATGCAAACAGAATAAATAACTATTGAGACTAATGCTGAAATTTAACCCTAAATTCTAGTCTGAAATAAAAACTAAAAAAATACACAAACTTTTAAGATTTTATATTTAAATAATTTCAAATTTCAACATAAGCCAATTTCTGATAACATTGATTAAAATTTTTACCAAAAGCAACAAACATGTAATTATCCACTAATGTTGCGGTATGCGCATAAAGAGTTAGATCAAAAATGGGATTTAAAATGTTTCCAATTGACCATCGATATGTTGCAATATCTAAAATCCATAGATCGCCGTAAATTATTCCGTTATTACCGTTATTACCATCACCACCGAAAATTATAATACGCCCGTCGGAAGCTTTCAATTTAAATTATTAAGAGAAGATTTTATACGACATACTCAAGACTGTCGAGAAAAATTTGCGACCAGGAGGAGTTGGGCCAGGTATGTTCTGATAAAATTGCAGACTTAGATTGTTAGCTACTAAGAATAAGGCAAATTAATTCATTTATACGTACCATATTTGTCCATATATCGGATTTTGTATTATATAATGATAACTACAAAATCATTAATAATAAAACTTAAAAGATCCCTTTATTAAAGACAACACTTACAATATTCATCGGCGCA